CTTTGCCTTCAGAAAAAGAGCAGCACCTCCAGGGAAAATGACAGAGGGCTATTTCCTGACCCCAAGAGCCCAAACTCTCCATCATCCTTTGGACCCAGCACAAGGGGCTGTCAGTAAACACAGGACCAGTGTTCTGCATAAAGGGGAAGGAAGCGTTTGCTGCGCAGGAGAGCACTGGATGTACCCGACAGAGTTGGGAAACCCCCAGAATGTGCCTTGTCATCTCCCATGTCCATGCCATGCTAGCCCTTGCCTGACAGGCCCAGGGGGCTGGGAGCAGCCAGAGAAAACCTTGTGTCCTGCCCTCAGGGAGCTTCCAGACCTCAGCTGACCCACTGAAGAGACTGCATATGGAGCCCAGTTTTCAGAAAGGGGCCAAGTGATGAGACAGGGCATCCGTCTGTCCTGAAGGCATGCTCGTCCTATCAAGCTCTTGGACAGTGGTTTGTTTTTGTTTTTGTTTTGCTTTGTTTTGTTTTGCATTCCTAGGGATTGAACCCAGGATATTCTGCTGAACTCCATCCCCAGCCTTTTTTATTTTATTTATTTTTGGGTAGTGAGGATTGAACCCAGGCATGCTTAACCACTGGGCCACATCGCCAACCCTTTTTAATATTTTATAGAGACAATTTAAAGTGAGGCCCTAAATTGCTTAGGGCCTCACATTAAATTTCCAAGGCTGGCTTTGAACTCATGATCTTCCTGCCTCAGCCTCCTGAGGAGCTGGGATTAGAGGTATGCACCACTCTACCTGGCTTGGAGAGAGGTTGAAACCAAAAAGAACTTCTACAGTTACGAGGAGATACAGGGTCCAAGGCTTGCTGAGAAAAGTGTTCTAATTCAGATAAGGAGATCCTGTAGAAGGAAATGCGATAAGAAGAAACAGTAAACTTGGAGAGAGGCACGGTGACAGAGAAGTCCCCATGCATTGGACTTGATCACTGGCACCAGAGACCACTCTGTGGGCTCAGCAGTTAGCAGGCCTGGGACTGGGCAGGCTTTCCCTTAGAGGCTCAGAGTGGCCATCTATGAATAAGGCCTGTGTTCTGGATTCCAATGAACCTCAGACAAGTTTCTGCTCCCTGTGCCTAGTTGAGCATCAGTTTCCTCACCTGAGAAATGATAACAATAATAGTTGTGATGTCCTAGGGCTGTTTGTAAGATTAAATGAGAGGATGCATCAAAAGTGCTTGGGAACCCAGCATGGCGATGCACGCCCATAATCAAAGATCCTATCTCAAAATAAAGAAAATAAATAAAAAGGACAGGAGATGCAATTCAATTGTAAAGCACTTGCTTAGTATGTGCAAGCTCCTGGGTTTGATCTCCATACCTCCATATCTCAAAAAAAAAAAAAAAACCCAAAGTGATTCTTCTTGGGTTTGGGTGCAGCTCAGTGGTAGAGCACTTGCCTAGCATTCTCAAGGGCCTGGGTTAGATCATCAGTACCAGACACACACACATACATACACACACACACACACACACACACAATTTTTAGAGACAGGATCTGGCTGTGCTGCCAATGGCTGGCCTTGAATTTCTGGGTTCAAGGGAACCTATTGCCTCAGCCTCCTGAAGAGCTAGACTATAGGCCCAAACCACCCAGCCCTGTTTTGATTATTTATTTTTTTTGAATAGTTTTTAGTTGTAGACGGACACGATGTCTTTATTTATTTTTTATGTGGTGCTGAGGATCGAACCCAGTGCCTCACACATGCGAGGAGAGCTCTCTACCTTCAGCCACAACCCCAGCCCCTGATTATTCTTAATACATATTTAAATGGTTGTTATTTTAGTGAGCACTTACCCTGTGGAAAACAATGTGCCTACTCTTTCTTGGGGGTTAAGAGAGACAAGGCCGGGGGATGCTGGTAAACTGGCTCCATGGAATAAGGGGATGGCCTGATTCATATGTGATGGTTCAGCCTTGTAAACACTCTCCTTATGGTCAGTATGGAGCTACCAACAGTTTATCAACTGGCTGGCAAAACCTGAACAATCAGCTCTGGAGAGCAGGCCCCAACATCAGTGAACTTTCTCTCTAGTTAGCAAATGACACATAAGTGAGAAGTTCCTAAGGGCTACAACCTCTGACCCCTGACACACACCCCCTGTCAACCATGGCTGATCCAGACCACAGTGGGATAGAGCCATTGGGGGTCCCATCTGCTTCTAGGCAAGCATAGGCTGCTGCACTTCTGGAAGAAGGAGGAGCAGGCTGTCTTTCTTTCTGACCCTTCAGCAGTCGTCATACATTTGACAGGGAAGATGTGTTCCTGGCCTTTTGAGTCCCAGCAGGCGTGGAAAGGTGTGACTCAGGAAATCAGAGCCCTGGGCTCTGCCTCCAGCTGCTGGGGCTCGGGCCTCAGTTTGTCATCTGTGCAACAAAGGCAGGACCTTTAACACACCTCTTGGGTCTGGAATTCTAAAAGTCTGACTTAATAAAATTTACTTTTGGAATCCAAGCTCTTGGTAATTTTTTTTTTTAATTAAAAAATGTTGGGGGGGCTGGGGATATAGCTCAGTTGGTAGAGTGCTTGCCTTGCCTGGACAAGGACCTGAGTTTGATCCCCAGCACCAAAAAAACAAAACAAAACAAAAAGTTGGGTTGAGGTTGTACCTCAGCAGTAGAGCACTCACCTAGCACATGTGAGGTCCTGGGTTCGATCCTCAGCACCACATATAAATATACAAAATAAAAGTATTGTGTCCACCTACAATTAAAAAAAAATTCCTTTAAAAAAGTTACCTTTTCAACTTAGTGAGATCCTGTCTCAAAAAATAAAAAGGGCTGGGGATGTGGCTTAGTGGTTAAGCACCCCTGGGTTCTATCCCTGTTACCAAAAGAAAAAGAAAAAAAAGTTAGCTTTTATTGAGCTCCTGCTATGTGCCAAGAATTGTGCCAGGGCTTCCCATATTTTGTCTAACTTAATGTTCAAACAGCTCTTTGCTGTTCTCATGCTCATTTGTAGATAAGGAAACTATGGCTCAGAGAGGTTGAAGAATTCCCCAAGATGTACAGCCAATAATGGAAGAGCTGGATTTTGATCCTTGTCTGTTTGACTCCAGAGCCATATATATATCTATCTTTTGCCTTTCCAGGCTGGGGTGGCTGGCATCTAAGTATTGAACAAATCATATAGAAAATAATTCATTCAACAAGACTTCTGAGAAAGAAAAAGAAGAGCCCTCCTCGGGCTGCAGTTCTCAGAGATGGCTTCATGGAGGAGGTAGAATTTCAGCTGTAGGGTTCACCTTGACAGAGAGGCATGCGAAGGACACACATGCAAGGACACATATGTGTTGTGGCTTGTTTTGAGGTACTAGGGATGAACCCAGGGCTCCGTGCATGCTAGGTGAGTGCTCTACCATAGAGCTATACCCTGAGTCCTTTTTATTTTTAGACAGTCTTACTTAGTTGCCCATCCTGGCCTTGAACTTGGGATCCTTTTGCCTCAGCCTCCCAAGTAGTTAGGATTATAGGTATGTGCCACCTTGCCCAGCTCGTGGAAGGTTTTTTAAATGAGCAAAAACATGAGTAAGGATGATAAGCTGCAGGTGAGTGGTGGATTATGGAAAGCAGAGGGTGGAAAGGACTCAGGGATGAACTGTCTGTGTCCTGTAAGGTAACAGGGAGCCACTAAAGACATGTGGGCAAGAGAGACAGAGGATGACAGTTGCATATCAATAAAGTTAGCCTGAGAGGGGCTGGGGATGTGGCTCAAGCGGTAGCGCGCTCGCCTGGCATGCCTTCGGCCCAGGTTCGATCCTCAGCACCACATACCAACAAAGATGTTGTGTCCGCGGAGAACTAAACAATAAATATTAAAAAAAATTCTCTCATTCTCTCTCTCTCTTTAAAAAAAAAAAAAAAGTTAGCCTGAGAGCAATTTTTTAAATAGATCAAAGAAAGGAGGGAAGATCATGGGGGTAAGAAGACCAGAGAGGACAGTAATGAAACTGCCAAACCTCTTTTCGTATGTAGATTTCATCTCAGAATAAGAGTATACAACTAAGCAATATAATAAACATAAACCTCATGGTGCACAGGAAAGATGTAAGGCCTTCAACAGTTTACTGGGAGAATCACAACAGTGAATGGTATCTCTGTTTACTGCTTTGTCAGGCCCAACACGGTCTTTGAAGTGCCCTAATAGGACAGTAGTTATGGCTTAAATAAACAAGCAATTAGCTCAGGAATAAATGTGTCATTGTAAATGAATTGCCGGTCTGGACTTTAGCTGGGACACACTAATAGTTGTGAATGTAATGTTCATCACCCCCTTGCTAAGAGTCTGATCTCTTAACTCTCAGTGGCCGCTCTCATTTCTCATCTGCCCTTTGGTTCCTGTGCCTGGGAGGAGCTAGGCGACAGGCTGTGGTTGATGGTTGATGGTTGAAGGGTTAATGGGTTCATGCTCTCTGCAACCCTGACTTCAGCTCCATTTTCAGAGAGAGGGTGGACAGAGGCGTGTCCTGCTGAAGGCAGCTCCAGGGTTTTCTTAAGCCAACCTGAAAACAGTTATGTGTAATTATCATGCAAGTATAACTTATTGCTTGTTGACACTGTTATTACAACAGCAGAACATGTATGTGTACTTGTGTTGGGACTCTGAGCTTATTTTGTGAGTTGGCTTGTCCCCTTACGCCAGCTCTAGGAGGCAGCTCAACTTGAAAAGCAAAGAAAGAGAAAGGAAGGAGGGAAGGAAAAGGAAAGGAAAGAAAGGGAGGGAAAACCCCAAGCCAACAGCACCAGCTTCCCATAGCCAAGCTCAGGGAGCCGGGATCCCTGGGTTCTGAGCTATCACTGTATGGTCTTGGGCCAATCCCTCTGCCTATCCAGCCTGCAGCTGCCTCATCTGTCAGGTGAGGGGGCTACATCTTTAAGGTTGCTTCCAAAAATGATGGTTCAGCTAGGACATGCATTTTCTTTTCTTTTCTTTTGCAGTACAGGGAATGGAATCCAGGGCCTTGCACATGTTAGGTAGGCACCCTACCACTGAGCTGCATTCCAGTTGCCCATGATGGTCTCAAACTTTAGGTCCTTCTGTCTCAATTTCTCAAGTAACTGAGAATATAGGTCTATGCCACCATGTTGGGTTAGGACAGGCATTTTCAAGAAACCCTAGAAGGGGTGGGGGTGCACACTAGTGGTGGAGTGCTTGCCTAAATGGACAGGGCCCTGGGTTAGAGCCCCA